AAGTAAGTAAGTAAGTAAGTAAGTAAGTTTGGGGAAGATTCTGCTAACCAGTGACCAAAGAAATCTCTTGCTTCCAGAAAAATAAGGCAGTGTGTTCCAGTTTTGATAAAGCATTGACCTGGGCAAACACACACATACCACTGGAGCTGGGTAGTTGGATAGAGATTGCCTGCAATTCTGCAGTCTTTGCCTTCTTCCAGAGCTCTAAATCCATGTGGAAGACTAGTGGTTCATACTGCTTATCATAGGAGACTGGTAGCACATTTGATATCATAGATGTGGCAAGGAAAAAACAGAAATCTAGTATTTTGTAAGATGGGAGGGAGCTGTTAACCTTGCTGTGGCAGACTGTTAGCTAGTGCCCATTCCAGATGAGGGCCCATTGGGCTAAATTGGGGAGGATGATAAGAATTTTACAGTCCTATAGCAGCTTGGATTTGAATGTAGATCGTCCTAATATCTTGCACCCAAACTGAACATGAAAAAAATTATTTAAGATTTATGTAGCTACGCCTCCCAGACTATCTAAGTTGAGTCTTTCTTAACAGAACTGAACATCTCACTGCTAAAGCTTATTCACATCTTTCAGCTGTTTCTTTTTATTGTTTATTTTTGAGAAGAATATCTATAGCAAAGTTGATGATAGTTTATTTTATTAGGTTATTTCTGAAGCAGCCTCTTACATTTTTGTAAGTAGTTTTATAGCCTTTTATACTCTTTAATGCAGATCGAGAATCTCCTTGCCATGTGAAACTCTTAAGGACTCAAAAAGTTGTCTATATCAGCTGTGGAAATGACCATACAGCTGTCCTGACAAAGGTAGGAGAATATCTTCTAAATGTTGGCTGTGGTGCAAGTGGATTAGAAAGATGTTTTTGTTTTTTGTTTCGGGGCCTTCAAGTCAGCATGGACTCCTGGTGACTGCCTGGACTAGTCCCTGCAGTTTTCTTGGCAAAATTTTTGGAAGTGGCTTTCCATTGCCTCCTTCCTACAGCTGAGAGAGAGGGACTGGCCCAAGGTCACCCAGCTGGCTTTGTGCCTAAGGCGGGACTAGTACTCATGGTCTCCCAGTTTCTAGCCTGGTGCTGTAACCACTACACCAAACTGGCTCTCATTAGAAGTTTACTTGCCAATTTTACAATCTAATCTAATGGAGCAAACTCTCTGGGTTCTTTGGCCAAACTGAGTGTGCTATCCTTGAGTATATGCTATGTTCTTGTCTGCAGCTTATTTTAACTAGTCAATTAGCTTTCAAATATCATTGTCTGTGGCTAATTTATATCTTCCAGAGCTGTTGATTTGAGTTTGAGTGTTTCAGTATACTGTTTCCATAGCCTTCCCCAACATTCTGTGCAAATAAAATAAAAATAAAAAGGGTGTTGACTATTTAAAAACCTTTCCTTCAAATCGAAAGAACCCCTTTTTAGACTTTTGACATAAGGCTTGTAGTTCTGAGTGCCTTCTCTCTTTATTGTACGCACATATTCACATCAGTTTCCTCCAGTGTGGCACCCTCTGGGTTTGGCAATCTCTAGAATCCTAATCAGGATGGCTAAAGGAATTGTGGAAATTGATTGTATTAATTATATATCACTGGGTTCAACAAAAATGACTCCCAGAAGTTTATAACTTTAAAAAATAAAACATAACACCCAATAAAAACACAAGCAACCACAAAGCGCTAAGTGTAATGGTGACGGTATATTCTCGAAAGGCCCTCCAGAATAATTGTGTCTTTAACAGAAGGTCAACAAGAAGGGTGCCAATCTAATCTTGAGGAAGTGAGTGTTTCATAACATGGGGTTTACAACAGAGAAACATTCACCTCCCCTACAAAAGGGACCATTAAAAGTTGTTGGTGAGAGGTCTACCCTGAGTGAACTGGACAGGCCACCTGCATATGGAGAAGATGTTCCTGTAAGTTCTTTAGTGGCAAGCCATATGGAGCTTTCTAGCTTAAAGCCAGCAGTTCAGTCAACATCTGTAAACTTGTGGTCCTGGCATATCTAAGGGGTATTTGGTTACAGAATGCTTGAGTGTGTTTTCATTCCAGTTTTCCACCTAGTAGGATTGTTTATTTAAGATAGAGAAGAATTGAAATGGTGATTTCTTCTTGTAATCTGAACTGGTACGATTTGTCATAAAATAGATTATTTGATTATATTCCCACCTCTTTCAGGCTTGTCTGAATATATAGAATGAGAGGGAGGCTTTAATGGTTATAAAGTGATTGGTACTGGATTGAAGGCTGGAAGGACATTCTGTCTCCATCAGTAGTAGTAGTAGTAGTATTGCTATTTGATATGTGCTAGTACCTAAGCATATTCAAGCAAAGTGATCCAAATAGAATCCAATAGAGGTGAGTATTAACAGTAAAATATTATAATCAAATTAAAACATTTTGTAATCCCAGCATAGCTAAAATTTAAATTGGTATCAAATACTGCCATTGTAATGAAAGGCTCTTCCAGCTTCATAAAGGACCTTTTTGAACCTTTTTGGACTTCAAACCTATTTCAGAGGGGAGTCAGTTCCAAAGAATAGGAACCACCTGGAAGAAAACTTTGAAATGCAAAGTAGCGATTCTAATGTAAGGAAAAACTAAGTGACCCTAATTGCACAAACAAACCAACTGCCCAGGAACATAAATTGTACTCAAGTTATTCCAATAACTGAGTGTTCCTGTGTGCATGGCTGGGAAGATCATCACTAGCAATTTAAATTTAAAAAAACCTGAAGACCCAGCCAGTAGTCTAAACAACTTTTTCTAGAGGTCAACAATCAAGTAATCTCTGCGAGCCCTATTTGGAGGATATTTAGGCATTTGCATTGTTTTGTTAGTTTATATTCTTAATTTCCTTTTTTCCTGGTTCCAAGGATACTAACAAGCAATTTGACTGTATAAAATTGCATGCATATATTTTAGTGCTAGCCCTTATTTAATACATAAGGAAGGTGATTTTTTAGCATATAAGAAATGTAGGCTTAGTTCTTTGTTTAGTGCATAAGAAATGTATATGTGTTTTCTTTTTCTTTTCTTCCTTTTGCATACAATAGCAAATTAAAAATTACCCCAAAAAGGTTGTATACAAAGTTGTTGGCATTTCTGTCGGAGCTGGTGGGTTTAGTGCTTTGATTGAAAGAGGGACTTCTTTGGCACAAGAGGGTGCTTTGCTCTAAGTGAAAATGTTCTTGTGATCTTTGCTTGCCAGAGTGGAGGAGTATTTACCTTTGGTGCAGGATCATGTGGGCAACTTGGCCATGATTCATTGAATGATGAAGTCAACCCTAGAAGAGTTTTGGAGCTGATGGGCAGTGAGGTGTCCCAGATCGCTTGTGGTAGGTGAGTGGTCTTTTGGGCAATTTCTTCACAAAGGCCATAGTTGCCATAGTTGCAAAATAAAATTTAGAACAAAGTGAACTCTCAAGAGAGTTAAACAGTAATGTTGGATGCTCCTTGTTATATGCTGGGTGTCTAAAACTGTTCACTTGGGTGATTTCTATTGCCTTTTATTCCCAACATATTTGTAGTGGGAAATTGGGACATTTAGTGACACCTGGAGAAGCTGCAGATTTAGTTCTTTGCATGAATCTGCTCCTGGGCACAGTCTACAAACTCCGTCTTCGCAGCCCCCAAAGCCAGATCCATTTGCAATAGTATTTTTGCAATAATAAATGTTTGTAGTGCTAATTATTAAAATAATAATTTTAAAAGTATGTTGAAGAAATACTACATTATTTTCATACCATTTAAATTGTTTAAGAGCAAACTGACAAATTCTGACTTTAGAAGGAAAAAATAAACAAGGAAATTCATTTGTTCCTTCCCTGTAAGAAGCCAATTCTAAAAAGGAGAAAGGTGCTCCAAGGACAGAGCGTTGCGTGTTCATCTGTTTATTCAAAAATTGAGAATTTTGTTACTTAACAAATTGGAATGAGATTGCTGCAGTGGGATATGACATCTGCTCTGACCATCTTCTTGAAAATTGCATTCATTAGAGCAGCATGAGCAGAAATTAAATATTTTTAAGATGCGGGGGGGCATACAATCTCATCCCACTTACCTGTCCAAGCAAGAAAGGGAAATGTAGCCTAAAGGATTGAAGGTTGATTTTAACTGCTGCATTACAATAATAGTAGTCTGCTGTTCTTGTTTCTTGGGTCAGAATGAAATATGAAACGTAGAAATGAGCACTTTGAAGGGCAGGTGATGATGACAGAAGAAAGCACGTCCGGGTGTGGGGGGGGAGGCGACTTTCTGAGTTCTTGATTGGATGATATCTCTGTCCATATAGATAAAGAGCAAGTCCTAACTATTTCTGAAGGAATGTGCAACTTCTTTATTTTATTTTAAAAATTTACCAGCTTTACTTTTTTCTATCTATTTAACCAACATTGTTTAATCAAAGTTTGAACACTGATAGCCTAGTCTCTTACCTGTGCTCAACCTGCTGTGCAAGTGGTGATATATATAGTCTATTGATGCCACACTGTGAAGCAGGCAACCCAATTTAGAGTAGGGTTTCTCAACCTTGGCAACTTTAAGATGGGTGGACTTCAACTCCCAGAATTCTCCAGCAAGCCATGGTTGAGAAACATTGATTTAGAGGCAGGTAGAGTAGAGTTCTGGGTGGAATGAAGTTGGCAGTAGCTTATAATGGCCTTCCAGAATCTGGATCATTGCAGATGATCTGGGTAGTAGCCATTGTTGCTTGGGATCGTAGGAATGAAGTCTCAGCAGCTAGGGAGCATCAGTTGGATAAAGGCTAAATTGTGTGGTTAGAGGGTGATATGTCAGGAATGCAGAAATCTCTTCACTTTTAAAAGTTTGGGAAAGAAAAGTGCTTAGGCAAATAATTTTAGGAATTCCTGCAGGATCTTCTTCTCTGCTGTTTCTACAAAGATGTTGCAGTCCCTTCTTTAGCAATACCTCTTGAAAATCTGGGAGTGGGGATAATGCATTTTGTGTTGCCCAATTTGGCCCTCCCTTTTTCTTGCAGAATGTTATTGCAGGATGTGTTTACCAAGCTATATTTTGTTTGCTCCTTTTAAGGTCCCCGTTGTATTGCTCTGATAGGACTTGATCACCTTAGAATAGCCATCAAGACTGCATCAGCTCTGAGGCTGGTCATGATGGGAGCAGAAGGAAGGAATGGAACACGGATGGGGGTGGGGATCTGCTTTTTTCTTATCTTACAAGTGTAAATAGATGGAATGGCTGGGGAGAAAGAAAGTATTGTACTTTTTCATGTTCAATTTTGCACTGAATATAGTTGTTTTTTGAAGAAGGCTACATTACAAACAGTCTGGTTATTTTGATATTTTCAGACAGCACACTCTAGCCTTTGTGCCTTCTTCAGGAATGATCTATGCATTTGGTTGTGGAATGAAAGGCCAGCTGGGAACGGGGCACATCTGCAGTGCTAAATGTCCTTCCCCAGTCAAGGGCCACTGGGCAGCTCATAATGAGCAAATCTCTGGTAGAGCAGGTAAGTGTGACCAGAAGAGAGCAGGATATAGCATACCAGCTTTCGGACCCCAACCCTAGAGGGTCTCTTCAGGCTGTATTAATTTTGGTTTCTAAAAGAAAGGCAAATGGGATGTTTGTGATTGGTGATGTCTAACTGATTGCTCTAACTAATTGGTGTCAATTTTCCTCAACAGATACTTGCACGTATTATATTGTTAAACATATATTCTCTGGAGGAGACCAATCATTTGTAATTTGCTCAGAAAAAGAGGTAACATAAAGCTTTTGTGGATATCCACTCCATCTTCTATAGTTATTGGATGTGAGATCCAGAATTGTACCTAAAGCCCATGTGCCATTTCCAATGTGGGTTTGGGCAATTGTAGTCTATGAGCCTGATGCAGCCCATGTCCTGTTCTTTGCATGCAGAGCCCCCCAAGATTGTGCTGCTCTAATTTTGGGCAAAATAAATAAACTAAGAGTCCACCTCTAGTAGGTTTAAATAACTCCCGATCTTGAAAGAAGGGGTGTGTGTGTCACAGCCTCCTCCCCTGACATCTTAATTGCTATCTCTCTGCAACGTTTGGCTGCAAAAAAAATTGGGAAAGAAAGAAAGTGTGCTTTCCTGCCATAAAACCAAGATCCACAAGGACACAGAGCGATCTGGTTTGAATCTTTACTCCTTAATGCAATTAAAGGAGCAAGGAATGGACAGATGCATGAAATGAAATGGGAAGGATCCATGGGAAGGGAGGTTTTTGGAAATGGTGTATAATCTACGTGTAGATTGTCCAGGATTATGAACTCCACATTTGCTTGGAGGAGGGGGAAGGGTGCACACAGTAAGTCAGTGTTGTCCAAACTTGGCCACTTTAAGATGAGTGGACTTCAACTTCCAGAATTCCCCAGCCAGCATGGCTGGCGTGGGGAATTCTGGGAGTTGAAGTCCACTCATCTTAAAGTGGCCAAGTTTGGACAACACTGCAGTAAGTAATCGGGCCAAGTGATCTTGCATCTCACACTGGGGAGTTATTCTCACTGTAACAAAAGCAGCAGTGATGTCTCTGGTGCTCCTCCTGTTTACAGTGAAAACCCTCTTTGAAATCTGCACCTTCTTACAGAATTCTGTACCAGCTGATGATTTCCGGACCATAAATCAAAGTGACTATACCTGTTTGATTAATGACAACACAATAGACATGTGGAGGCAAAAGCTTTCTGAAAGAAATAACTCTAATTCAGTGAAGTAGGTTCATTTCTGTTCAGTTTTTAAAGCATTATTGTGATGATGGGCAAGGACATAATCTCTAGCTTTCTTGTGTGATATCTTCTTTGTTGGCTTGTTGAATCAATCTAGTCTACTTTCCAAATGGTAATCAGTTTCATAAACTCTGAATTCATATGGTTCAGCAGCTCCCTTGACCTCATAGTTTCCCATGTCTAGCCTGGTACCTTTAACAGGTAACTGGCTCTCTTAATGGTATAATACTTAACTCAAACATAATGGTATAATTTAGAAAAGTGATGTCACAGCTTAAGTCAAGCTGTGAAAGATAATTTTCAATATTTTGTAATGGTGTGGCATAATGATTTCTTGAGCCAGGGGTTTGCTCATCAGACTTTTAATCCAGATATTTCCAATCACTTATCAAATCGTTCTCTGCTGAACTAAAGAACCCATTTGGTATTTCTAGATTAGCTGTGGCTGGTATATCTTAAGTCAACATGCTAAGAGCAAAGGCAACTGAATAGATTAGAGAAGAAAAGGACAATAATAATTAGGTTCATTTACTACACTAACCCATAATCTGATTTGATTAGCTTTGGTTGTCATATTATATGAGCTCAGTTTGTTAGGGTTTGTGTATAGTGGTTTATAGCTTAGTGTGTAAATGCAGCAAATTACAGCTATGTCAGGAAGCCATGGGTAAGCAAATCAATTTTGAAAAATTATACATGATTCCTAACCAGTATAGTGTTTAACCAGTTTTCTTGTCTTTTGCTTACCTGTATTTTTCCTGTGCTAAGCAGTGAGGTTGTGCAGATCTTATCTTCAGCTGCTTGCTGGAATGGAAGCTTCCTTGAAAATAAGTAAGTAACTTAAAATGGAATAGAAATATTTGGCTAACTTTCAGGTTTAGTTTTTGAAATATAAACCAGCAAACCTGGATCACTGATAGTTGACTAGATTTGGGTCACGGAAGAAAGATATTGGTTCTATAGTTTCCTTTTTTAATAGTAATTTTTATTAAAGTTTATAATGACAACAGTAAAAACTAAAATAAACTAAAAAAAGAAAAATAGAAAGAGTAGAAGGTGCAGAAAAGAAAGAAGAGAAATAGAAATAGAAAAGTAAGAATATAGTAAAGAAAAATATATAGAAATGACTTCCCACCTTCATCACAAGTATAAACAGTTTTAGTAACTTATCACCTCCTCTTAAAATACAGCAAATGATCTCTTCCTCCCGTATCCCATCTCTTATCTGTAAACAAATCCATAAAGCCTTGTCATTTCAGTCCTTGTGTCAGCAAAAGTCCATTAAGAGTTACCAGATATAAAAACATATCTATTTTAACCTTGATCAGATAAGCCAACTTTATATTCCTTCCTTTTCCTTTTAACAATCTTGATCTTTAGTCCATTCAAATAATGTTGTAGAACTTGATTTCTTTTCATTTTTTCTTTGTCCCTTTTCAGGAGTCCATTGTTCAAAAATATCCTTCAGTATGTCCAATGTTAGAATATTTTACTTCATTCTGTAATTGTAAATTGAGTTTATGTGTCCTTCTGCTTTAATTGTAATCTTTAGTTCCCTCTAATTCCCTCTAGTGTCCAATTTTTAAAACCTTGTGTTTTTTTAAAAGAAATTCAAAACAAAAGTATTTTCCCACAGGAAGGATTCTTTATAATTAAATGTACGGTACAGCAGCAAATTTATCTGGACCCTTAGTCCATTTGTAACTTTCTAAAATCGAAGTTTTAATCACCCCTTTGCTGTTTAGTCCCCAACATTTTTTTTTAAAGTTCCCACAGGAAGGATTCTTTATAATTAATTCCAAAATCTTATTTCAAATTTATCTGGACCCTTAGTCCATTTGTAACTTTCTAAAATCGAAGTTTTAATCACCCCTTTGCTGTTTAGTCCCCAACATTTTTTTTTAAAGTTCTTAAACTTGTAAGTTAAAACTTTCTTTCACTAAAGATTGAAGGAAACTCACCTGGTGCTGTCAATCTTGTCCATCCAAAGATTCCTAATAGCTGAAAAGCAGCTGACAAGCAATTTCTGAATGTGATTAGAAAAGGAAGTATGCGAACTTAGTGTCCTTTCAAAGGTGCTGACCATAGTTCAACCGAAATAGCTACTGCCTCATCTCCCAGAGCTCTAAACCCTCTAGAGACCACTAACATGCAGTCTCCTCGCGAGGAGCAGCTGTCTGGAGCACTTGTGGGCAATGTGAAGTCCTCTCCTTGTCCAGAGAGGAATTATCGAAGAACTGGTCTACTTGCCGGCTCTTCATTCCACCAGTCATTGACTCCACGTTTTATGGAGCCGTTTTCAGCCCACCATTCTTCCAGAAGCCCAGTTCTATAGCTTCCTGATACAAGAAGGAGGCAGGATAAGAAAGAAAAAATGCAACCAGCTCTCCTGGAGCTGCTGTTCTACATATCTTGTTGGAAAGAGCAAAAGATACCTGTGATAACTTGCATCTAGGATCAAATGTGTAGGTAGAGAGGATGGGGCACTGGGTAAGATTTTGGCTGAACTGCCATATTGCCAGAAGACTATGTGTCCAGACTGGTTGACATGAACTTCTAGGAGCTGTGTACCTCTATTGTCTGTGTTGTTATGGCAATAGTAGTTATGCCTCAGAAGCTATGTTTAGCTCTCTGTATCTGCAAGCTTTAGCAGTGAACTAGTAAAAATAATATGTGATTAAATGGAGCCTCCTCTTCTGTCAAGAGAACATCTGCTGTAGTTGCAGCTGCTAATAACTGATTTAGTGGTTTACTTCCAAGCTCACCAGTAAGAAACAGGAGGTTGGCATTTGGGACTGACAACTCATGAATGTTCTCTTTCATTGCAAAATGTTGTAGATACTAAGTTGTGGAGACATCTAATGTAACCCATCAGGTATATAAGATCCAGTGATGTTATTCTATTGGCCATGTTGCAGATCCTTTTGTTGGTTCCCACATATCTGATAAGAGGGTGTCATTTGGTATTAAGATTTGCTCCACTCTATCAGATAGAGACCTATCAGAACTGCTTTACTGGATCAAATTAGTGATCCACCTATTCCAGTTGTGTGCACAATTTTCCTGGGCAAAGAGCTACATTTTGGTTTTAGTTGGTATGATAGTGTCTCTCCCTTCAAAACTGAGCAAGTCCAAAGGGGGGAAAAAACCCTAAATTTGATAAAATATAATGTCATGTCTCCTCACTAAGGAGGGGCAAAATGCTTTAAATTCAAGCTACTTTGAATTTGTGCATTGCTCCATGTGTGGAACAGCTGCTCTGAATTCAAAACGCTTTGAGTTGAACCCTACACTTTTGAAAGAGTAAAGCTATCATTGTAGCTCTAAGGAACAATTGTTCATTGGCAAATTAAACTGGAATTTAGGATTATAGAATCCTCCTGAGGAAAATGAAGGTTCCTTGATCTTTGATTCCTGTCAGATACTTTTGCTACTTTGAATAGGATTCCACTCCTGTAGATGCATTTCATCTGTCTATGATATCTGTATGAGAACTGAGTCATACATACCTTGTAGGTTATAGACTGAAATATCTGCTTGCTGTTTTTACATTCAGTGCACTGCATGCCTAAATTCTCTGTTTTAAGGAAAACATGATATAAATGTGCTTAAATTCTTTTTTAGAATAGATGAACATTTTAAAACAAGCCCCAAAATTCCAGGAATTGACTTGAATTCCACCAGAGTGATGTTTAATAAGCTAATGACATCTCAGCATTCTACATTGCGTGATCAGGTACTGGAACTTGTTGTAGTAGTGTTAAGGCAACTGTTTGCTTCCTTCTGGGAGTGTTTAAGGAGAAAACTCAATATTAAACTATTTTCCTCAACTTGCTGCCTGGTAGATGGTGGGAGTGATAGTGTAATATGTCTGAAGGACACCAGGTTAAGAAAGCTTGAGCTGACATTTCAAACAAAGAATCAATTCATTAGTGCAAATTAAACTGTCGGGATTAATTCTGGCACAATCATACTAATTGTTTTCCCCTTGGTAAGTGAAAACAGAATCATACATTTCAACTCTAACACATGTCTGGATACTCATCCCATTGTTTTTCTGATGGTATTGAAATTTGAAAAAAGAGTTTAAAAAACAAGTACTAAATGAGGATCCACCCAATTTCAGAGATAGTGCATGCCATGAACCAAATCCTGGCTTGAGCTTTCATGGGTTTGCCACACAGAGGTATCTGCAGGGTCCTTTGTCAATATGATGAAAGCGATGTCGCACCATTATGACATAAACTCCGTTCTTTTTGTAGGTGGAGTTTATATTTTGATAGCTTGTCAGCCCCACTAGGTAGACCAGACCAGGAAATCAACTTCACAAGAAGGCTAAAACTTTTATTGAGATTGGCTATAATAACAGAATCTTGCAAGTCTGATTGTGTTGTACCTCCTCCTCCTCCTCATAGTTCAGTGGATTAGGGAGGTGTCTGCCTGAGCTGCTTCTGAATGTTATTTCGCTGTTCTGGACTTAAAGAATGCTTCAGCCCTTTTTGCTTACAGGTAACAGTTCCTACATATCTCCATCAAGGTCATCTACCTTACTTTCTACACAGCACAACACTACTCTTGTCTTTTGTCTCTGTTTGCCCTTTCCCATGGACCCTTGTTTGTTTATTGTTTAATCAGTTTATACGGCCATCCATCTCGCAAATGCAACTCTGAGCAACTAACAACACAGTAAAACAAGAAGAACAATATTAATGGAATAAAAACCAACAATGGTTCCTGAGAACCCAACAAGACTATAAACAGAAGACTCTTAAAAGGCCATCTAATCTCCTAGCCCCCAGACCCTGGAGCACACAACCAGGTCTTCAGTGCTTTATGGAAGGCCATCAGGGTCAAGGCCAATCTGATCTTGGGTGCGGGGGAGTGTGGGGTTCCAGATGGTAGGCACTTTGCCATGGTATTACAGGTATGAGGTCATTTCCACCTCCATTCACTTAGTTTCTTTGTTCATAAGAAGCTTGGAGATGGTGTCCTTCAAATTGAGGCTTGTAAGCTATA